AATAATTAAAACACAATTAAAACAATATATTATAACTTTAATATAATATTTGATATATCTCTTTAGCTGTTCAAATTTACACATCATACGATCTACTGTTCTTTAATTTATAAACGAGTATAACCAAACTTATGACAATAATTAGAATAACAAGAACAATAATAATTTCCCATAATCTGTGTGGTTTGGGTGGCTTAGGTCGCTCAGTGGTTGTTGTTGTTGTCGTTGAAGTATCTGCATCTGGCTCTGTTGAGGAACCTATTGGTTTTGTTTGATAATCTATATTCTCGGTTGAGCCATATCCTTCAGAAGTCGATGTGATGAGAGCAATCTCTACGTGGAATGTCTCAACTTCAGCACTGGCAAAATTTAGCAGCAAAAGCAACAGCAACCAGCTGCAGCAGAGTAAAGTCGAGCACTTGAAACGTTGCATTTTCTATATCGAATCTTTCGACCTTCGCAAATATTATTTATAAAAGAAATGAATTACTTTAAGTGCTGCGCATTTGCAGACAGTTTGCAAACTGAGCAGCGGGCTTGAAACTTTGCCAAGGCAATGCCATACAAATTTGTAAACCCAACAGGAAGCGGTCATTGATAATATTTGTATGTTTTTATATTTTACATATACAGTTTTTATATACATTTGTATAAATGCAAAATATTCTTGAAGCCGTAATATTTCTTGAGCTTATCATATACAAAATAATATGAATCATTATTATTATGACACCATATTCTTGAAATTTTTGAAACAAGCTGACTCCATACAAATTATATTCTTTCTTATTATACAAGTGTAAAATCATTATATAACTTTCAATATTCGTTCATCCAGCTATATAAATTAGATGAGGCCTATTAAAATTTTTTTGTTTTTTTCTTATTTTTATTTTATTTTTTATTTTATGACATTTCCAATGAATAGAGGTGCGAGTATTATGAAGTCGGTCAAGATCGTCTACACCATCTTATCTGCTTAAATATATATATTTGGTCCATTTAAAAAGTTGCTGAAATACATTTATCTTATATCTCTTATATAGCTAATGTGGTATGTTTTAAGTATATTATACAGTCGACTATCGTTATTTCGAAATTCAAGGGACTCTTAAAATATTTCGAACTGTCGAGTGTTTAACCATATCAGTACGAATTACCGCGTCGTAGCAATGATTTTTAGTTCGAACTACTGAGTGATAACTTTGAATTAATGAGAGGTTCGAAATAACGCAGGTTTGAAATAAAAAGAGTCGACTGTATATATTTTATATGATATACATAATTCGAAATATCAAGTATAAGGATAAGAAAATGATAAAATAATAAAATAGTTATATTGGTCAAAATAATGTACGTTTATATATTTTTGTTACGTTGCAAACTTTCAGACCACCCACGTACATATGTATATACTTTATATATGCATGTATATATACATATACAGTAGACTGTCGATATTTCGAAACTCGGGGGACTCTTAAAATATTACGAATTATCGAATGCTGGAAATTTTAAAAGCCTTGAATTTTTTGAGAGTTAATTAAAAAAGTTTTCGAATTATCAAGAGATTTTTTTTCAACTGCTGATATTTTACATATTCGTAATGTATGTTTAAATTATTTAATCTTTGAAAAGAACTGATTTATATGGGTTTGCTTCGAAGAACATTGCTGCTGCTCAGATTTTTTAATGATTTTTTTAAGGAGAAAATCTGCCGGATACAGATTCATCAGTTGCGGTTTGTAAACAAAAGCTATATAAATTATCTCATGAGGCTATAACTACTTCAGCCAAAGGTTCTGATGTATCGTCTTCATCTTCATTAGTATCTGCGAGCATCGAAATGTGCCTATGTTTTATGCGTAACATGCAACCACGCACAGTAAACAAAAACAAAATTTGCTTCACTTCATTCTCATACAGTTCAGATAGTAATACAAAAATGCTTAAATACTTTAAGAAAATCAACTTTTGCTTGTTAAGCTTACTCACGACTACTTTCTCTCCCTATCTTTTTCTCTCCCCTGTCGCCGTCTCACTCTCTCAATCCGTTTTTCTCTCTCTTTACATATCGCTTGCTCTGCTCCTCTTTCAGAGATTAAATAAAACGCGCACAGTTCGCTTTTGCTGTCAAGGCTATGAGGGCAATCTCTCGGATAGTCAAGCCAGCTGCCGTCCCATTTGTCGCGGTGGCTGTGGGCGTGGCAATTGCCTAATGCCCGACATATGCAGCTGCGAGGAGGGCTACACCGGCAAGCACTGCACACAGCGTGAGTGAAGAGCTGAAGAAGTGAAGTGATCTATTCGAAATGTCATCCATTCACGTTGTCTCTCCACAGGCTGTGATCATGATCGCTGGGGACTCGACTGCAAGAATCCGTGCCAATGCCAAAACGATGCTGTGTGTGATAATAAAACGGGAGGATGCCATTGCATAGCCGGTTGGGCTGGACAATTGTGAGTTCATATCGAGCGAATCATTTACAGTGAAATATTCCTTACTACACCAGAATTTCGAATGAAACACAGGTTTCTGTTTGAGCTAAGTGTAATTTAAAGTTCATTTCACATTATTCCAGCTGCGAGCAACCGTGTCCTGTGGGCACCCATGGCGTCATGTGCCGCAAAGTCTGCGAGTGCCCAGAGAAGCGCTGTCATCCGCAGACGGGCGAGTGTCTGGGCCCCGAAAACTTGGAGGCTGTCAATGTCAATCATGTTGTGCTGGAGACTATCAACTCGACCATGGCGAATCTAACGCATAATATCAATAATATTGCCAGGAGCATTGGCAGCATGTCCGAGAGCAGCCACGTCCAGGTGACGCCCAGCGCTCTGCCGGAAGTCATATTGATCAAGCAGCCGGTGCAGGAGTCGGCGCACACGCCCAAGATCATCCTGCACGAGTCGAGCAATGCTCTGCTCGAGAATCTGCACACAGCCGCTGCCGCTGGAGTGCCCACGCCTGAGGTCATCCATGTCATCACAAGTGCAGGCGGCGTTGCCGGGACTCAGGATCGGGCACCTCAGTTGAATTTGGCTGGCTTTGCTGCCGGCGAGAGTAATCCGAGTCGCAGTGCTCACGATCACGACTCCAGCCTTTTGAGCACTCTGATCGTTATGCTGCTCATGCTGATGATCGTCATCGTATTGGGCTTCCTCTATGTCTATCGGCGTCAGCATCTGCAGAAGGAGGCCGTCGTCTACAATGCCAACGGCACGTTCAGCAACGCCCAGCCACATGGGCATGGCAATCCGGAAGTTGTGATCAGCGACACGGGGAAGATCTTTCACGGGCCGCTGCCCAAGCCGCCGGCCCTCTTGCCCAACACCAATCAAACCCAACCGAACGAGGGTATGTAAGTGTCGCCCCGCCTGTCACGAGGGCGGTTCGTTAAATGGCTTGAGTCATGAGATGTTCGCTCTTAATATGTATACGGTGGTGCTCAATTGAAAGTCTTTAAAATGCCGCGCACTTGAAGAGATTCGACAATTTTTTTTAAAGCTTAAATTAAATTCAGTAATACTTATTTCATTCATCTCTCAAGCTATTTATCGCATTAGCCACACGGCTAAGCAAACATTCTAATCGAACGTTCCCTTGCAGCATCTTTGCCTGATATATATGATACGCCCAGCAACAACTCCTCGATTACAACTCAGCCCTATGCCTATGCGCGCAAGGAGTCTCTCTATTCGGTCGTTTCGCCCAAGTCACGCAAAGGCAGCCTCGATTCGCATCTGTACGATGAGATTAGATACCATCAACAGCAGCAGCAGCASCACCATCATCACCAGCACCACCAGCATCACCATCAGCTGCATCAACAACATTCACATCCATCACACCAACCACAATCCCATGCCTCGCAGCCGTCACGTTATCAGCATTCAACCACTGCAACTGCATTTTTGGCACCGCCGCCGCCAATGCGCCCCAGCAATGGACAACTGCACCACCAGCAGACATCCAGCACCACTAACGGCGGCTCACATGTCTCCCACTTGATCATTCCGCCACAGAATGCCAACTTCCTGCAGGTGCCCAGCCAGATTGGAGTCCGTAAAATTGCCCATTTGTGAATTTCGACAGGCAGAATTTCAACTTTACATAAGAATAAAAAAAACTAAGGAAATAAATATGAAATTATATTTGTAAACAATTTTTATATCTTATATATTACTTACAATA